CAGGGAAGACTTCCTGAGGAGGTGACGGTTGAGCTGAGATTTGAGTGGTGAGGAGGAAGAAGTAGGAAGGAAGGAGTGTCCCAGGCAGGGGAAGAAGCACCATTTACAGAGGCCGCACTATTTGGCATTTCTCCGTGACCTCAGGATGCCCTCCACCTTCCTTTCTCTTCCCGTGACCACTTTTTGTGTCCCCGGACCTACAACGGACCTGGAGGCACCTCCCGGTGGCCTGTGACCCCCTCCCCTTTTTCTCCCCCGGGCCCTCACCTGGGACCTATTCATTCAGGCTGCCTCTGCCAGCCTTCATCCCTCTTCCCTCCCGTGACCTCCCTTTGGACTCCTGGCCCCCACCGAGGACTGTGTCTCTGGCCCAGGACTCACCCTCTGACATCCGGACCCCTCCCTCCCCCCTTTGCGTCCCCTCCCCCCAGGATGAAGGACGGCGTGGAGATGACGAAGGAGGACTCCTACAAGGCACGGTACCGCTTCAAGAAAGACGGGAAGCGCCACATTCTCATCTTCTCAGAGGTGACCCTGGAAGATTCGGGTCGGTTCAAAGTCATGACCAACGGTGGCCAGTGCGAGGCTGATCTCATTGTGGAAGGTACGCGGGGGGGGGGAGCCCTGGGTGGGGCGGGGGCCCCTGGTACATGCTTCTCCGGGCTGCTCAGCGTCGCTCAGGCCCAGCTATACGGTGTCCCAAAATTCACGCAAGAAGTAATTTTTTAAAAACATATTTATTGATTTTTTACAGAGAGGAAGGGAGAGGGAAAGAGAGTTAGAAACATCGATGAGAGAGAACCATCGATCCGCTGCCTCCTGCACACCCCCTACTGGGGATGTGCCCGAAACCAAGGTACATGCCCTTGACCGGAATCGAACCCGGGACCCTTCAGTCCACAGGCCGATGCTCTATCCACTGAGCCAAACCGGTCAGGGCAGCAAGAAGTAATTTTGATAGAAAACACAGGTTTATAATTAAAAATGGTAAATTTTTTATTAATTCATAAAGTATACAGTATAGGGTTATCTATCGAATAGCACATCATCGGGTAAATGGCCTCCACGGCTTCGCTGGCACATCCGCAAAGCCGTGGTCTTCCTTGGTCTTCATTGTCCCTGCTCCTGGGCCATAATTCGTACTTGGTGATGCTTATCAAATTGAAGGGATTGAAATCAAAGGGCAACAGATATTAGAATCTGATTCAATAAACCAAGTAAAATTAGGCTTTTATTTGTTGTTGTTGTTGTTGTTAGTGCTCACGCAAAATTCAAATCTTGCGTAAATTTTGGGACACCCTATAGTAGTCTCCTTGCTGGTTGTTCTGTTTCCACACCTGCTCCCATCACACACACACACACACACACACACACACACACACACGCGTGATCCTTGTAAAACGTCAGTCAGATGGTCACCCCTGAACACCTCCTGTCGTCTGGGTGATGACAGTATTGCTCCCACGTCCACCTCCTGGATTGATTATTGGACGATGGGTGTCTAAGATGTCACCCATCAGGGCAAGCTGGGTGGAGGGTAGTACCTGGGACTCTATGCACTATTTTTGCAAACTCCTGTGAGTCTATAATTCTTTAAATATGACAAAAGCTCGCGTGGCCGGCATGGCTCAGTGGTTGAGCATTGACCTCTGCACCAGGAGGTCACGGTTTGATTCCTGGTTGGGGGCTCAGTCCCCAGTGGGGGGTGTGCAGGAGGCAGCCGATCGATGATTCTCTCTCATCATTGATGTTTCTCTCTCTCTCTCTCCCTCTCCCTTCCTCTCTGAAATCTATAAAAACATATTTAAATATGACCAAAAAAAATCAAGCCATTTATGGACCAAGTTAATTACGTCATATTCACAGGTAGCCCTAAAAACGGGCAGCTTTTAATTTACTGATGTGGAATTATTTCCAAGACACGTGGAGGCCACGTCCTCGCCAGCGGACAACATCGCCGATCAGTTCTTAAAACTGCGGCGAAATGACATATAACGAAACCATTCTTACCAAAGGCCAAGTGACAGAAACAAGGGTTAAGTTCCTGTCACATTCGATCGATGTTACTACAAAGTGATGTTGAAAGAAATGACGTTACTCAGGGACCTGCTGTATATTTTTAGGAGAAAAAGCAAATGTGCTGTTATTTGCATACTAGAGGCCCGTTGCGCGAAAAGATTCGTGCAATAGGCCTTCCCTTCCCCTGGCTGCCGGCACTGGTTTTCCTCCGGCTCCCGGGACCCAGGCTTTTGCTCCGGCCGGAGCCGCCTTCAAGCCTTCGCTGCCCCGCCCGGCCGCCCCGGGTCGGATCACACATGGGGATGCCTACCGCCTGGGGTTGCAGATAGCAGGCCCGGATGGCGCTGTCCCGCCCTGCCTGCAGTATGCAAATTAGCCGCCATCTTTGTTGGCGGTTAATTTGCATATCATGCTGATTAGCCCATGGGAGGCGTAGCAAAGGTACGGTCAATTACCATGTTTATCTATTATTAGATAGGATGAGGGGAAAGAAGGGAGGGAGGGAGGGAGGGAGGGAGGGAGGGAGGGAGGGAGGGCAGAAAGAAAATGTATGTAAGCATCTGTTTTTACAGCTCTAGACTGGATGGGTGACGCCTTTAGAGAAGGTCCTACATCTAGATCAGGGGTGGGCAAACTTTTTGACTCGAGGGCCACAATGGGTTCTTAAACTGGACCGGAGGGCCGGAACAAAAGCATGGATGGAGTGTTTGTGTGAACTAATATAAATTCAAAGTAAACATCATTACATAAAAGGGTACGGTCTTTTTTTTTTTTTTTAGTTTTATTCATTTGCCCACGGCTGATCTAGATGATTGGTGGTGGGTGGGGATGAGACTTCCCCTCTATATCTAAAGCCTCTTCTATTTAATTTAATTTTTGTTCATCCTCACTCGAGGATATATTTTCTACTGATTTATTATTATTTGTTTATTTTTATTGATTTCAGAGAGGAAGGGAGAGGGAGAGAGAGAGATAGAAACATCAGTGGTGAGAGAGAATCATTGATCGGCTGCCTCCTGCACACCCCACACTGGGGGTCGAGCCCGGAACCGGGCATGTGCCCTTGACTGGAATCGAACCCGGGACTCTTCACTCCATAGGTTGACGCTCTATCCACTGAGCAAAACCAGCTAGGGCTACTTTCCATTGATTTTTAAAGAGAGTGGAAAAGAGGGAGGGAGGGAGGGAAGGAGGGAGAGAGAGAGAGATATCAACTGGTTGCCTCTTTTAAGCATCCTGGCTAGGGATTGAACCCACAACCTGGGCATGTGCCCTGACTGAGACTTGAACCCATGACCTTTTGGTGCACACGACAACGCTCCAACCAACTGAGGCTCACCGGCCAGGACTGCATTTTTAAAAAAATATATTTTTATTAAGAGAGGAAGGGATGCCGAAACCGGTTTGGCTCAGTGGATAGAGTGTCGCCCTGCAGACTGAGGGGTCCGGGTTCGATTCCGGTCAAGGGCATGTACCTGGTTGCGGGCACATCCCCAGTGGGAGATGTGCAGGAGCAGCTGATCGATGTTTCTTTCTCATCGATGTTTCTGACTCTCTGTCTCTCTCCCTTCCTCTCTGTGAAAAATCAATAAAATATATTTAAAAAAAAAAAAGAGAGAGAGGAAGGGAGAGGGAGAGACAGACAGAAACATTAGCGATCCCCAATGTTTTATGGGCTGCATTGTATTATTTAAAAGAACAAAAACTTTAAAAAATGTAAGTCAGATCCCCGCTGTCTTCCCATCACCCCGCGCGGCTCCGGCCTTGCTCAGACTCCACACAGAGTCCTCTCCTGGGCCACAAGCCCCAGGATCGGGCCCCGGCTGCCCTGCCATTTCATCTCCTACCACGGCTCGCCTGCCTGCTGTTCCCACACCAACAAGCCCGCTCTGCTCCGCGGGGCCTTTGCACACGCCGTCCTCTCCACCTGGGGACCCCTGTGTCCTCCTGTGGGCTCGTCCCCGCCTTCCCTCAGGCTTCATGGCTCCCTCTTGTGACGTGAATGTGTTTCCCAGTTCACTGCCTGTCTCCCAGCTACAACCTGAGCTCCATGAGGCCAATGGGTTGCTTCTGGGCTGGTCAAGGCTGCGTCCTTGAACAGTCCTTGGCACGCTGGGTGCTCCCACGTGTCCGTGGGCAGACGGGAGTTGTGACAGCCCCCTCTCCTTCTCTCCTCGTCCAGTGAAACAGCTGGAGGTCCTGCAGGACATTGCGGATCTGACAGTGAAGGCCTCGGACCAGGCCGTGTTCAAGTGCGAAGTGTCCGACGAAAAGGTGACGGGCAAGTGGTTCAAAAATGGGGTCGAGGTGCGGCCCAGCAAGAGGATCACCATGACCCACACGGGGAGGTGCGGAGTAGACTATGGAGGTGACTGGGGGGGATGGAGTGTGTGTATCAGCTAGCGCTAGCTGCGTAACAACCATCCCCGGACTTAGTGGTTCCGAAGAACAAGGACTTATTTAATCGAGTCTGTGGGTCGATGGGAGGTTGGCTGATTGAGGATGGCCTTCCTGGTGCTTGTGTGGTCAGCTGAGTGTCAGTTCTGCTCACCCTCCTGTGGGGACTTGGAGGCGCTGGGCTGTGTCTGCGCTGGTCCTGATGATGCCTTATCTCCTAGTAGGGCCGGTCCTGGCATCGTCACGTGCTAGAAACGGGTTCTGAAGGCGTGCAGGGGAACATGACTGTGTGGCCTGGGCTGGGAACTGTCCCCATGTTGCTTCCACCATATTCCTTCTTTTTCTTTTGCATTGAATTTTTTAAAGAGAGAATGAAAGGGAGGGAGTCAGGGGAGAGAGAGGGAGAGAGAGAAAGAGAAAAACACCGTTGTGAGGGAGACACATGGATTGGTTGCCTCCCTCACGCACCCTGACCAGAGCTGGGGATCGAGCCTGCAGCCCAGGCCCACGCCCTTGACCGACCTTCTAAGCACGGAGCACGCCGGCCAGGGCACTTGCACCGCATTCTGTTGGGCGAAGGAAGTCAAAGGCTGCACGCTCTCCTGGCAAGGGGCGTGGATAGAGGGAGGGGAAATCGTGGTCCTATTTGCAGTCTGTACAGAATGCCACCATAGTGCCACCCGATGTCGTG